CGGAGAGTCAAGACAATCACCTGCGGGCCCTGATATTGGCTCTTATCGCCGCACATTATCTTCACACTGCGGGAGATCAGGCGCAGATGATGCTCGGGACGTGTGAGCAGCTCGCTGCTGGGCTTGGCGCACCGACCAGGAAAGGCAATGAACAGCCGGACGCGCTGGGCAACGCACCGTTGCGGTTGTGGGTCGGGGAGCGGTTCCTAGGTGCGATTCATCCGTTTCGTAGACAATGTGAGCTGATGTCTGTCCTCAGAATTGTATCGACGAGATGGCCAGACGGAAGCCATTGCGAAGCGGGAGGAGACGAATGCTTTACTGAGGCGGGCGGTTGCATCCCTTTTTGCACGTGAGCGCTAAGACTGGTCTTCAATCCATACCCCTTGGCTTGTGTCCTGTGATATCCATTGCTTTACGGAGCATCCAAGAGCCCGGGTCGGATCTTCAATGAAAGAAACAAACAGATAACCAGGTATGTACCTCAACGGGAACGAACGAACTTCTACCTGAGATCAGATTTGGCCTGATTGATCCGGCCATCGTGACATGAACCACACCGTGGTCGTTCACTAGTCAGTTAACTCTTCTTCCTGACGGGCCGTAAATTTCCACTCGACAGCTTCCACACGAGGAGTGTTTAGTCTTCTTTCGGCATGCGGCATCTGCTTTCGTGGGACACCTGAGGAGCAAGCACGTCCTTAAGAGAGCAAGGTTTTCTCATCAGCTCCCTATTCAGCCATGTTATCCCCCACCGTCCTAGGCTTATCCGGTCTCCTCCTGCTCGTGTACTTGTTTCACCGGCTCTCATACAAGGGTGGCTCCCGCACGACTCGTCTCCGCGGGCCGCCCAGCAACGATCTGATATTCGGGCTTTCGCAAAGTGGACTGAAGACCACGGACGCCAGCGACGTCTACGAGCAGTGGGCGGCAGAATACGGCGCCGTTTTCCAAGTCCCCATTGGTCTCGGGCGGCGCAAGATCGTCCTGACCGATCCCAAGGCACTGCTGCACTTCTACAGCTCGGAGCGCAGCGTGTACGTCAAGACGCGGAGCAGCCGTGTCTTTATCGCCGAGATTGTGAGTGGCCCATCGGGTTCTTTGACCCCACTAAACCCCCTCCCCCTGTTATTTAGTTTGGTCGAGGCCTTCTATGGGCGGAGGGAGATGTGCACCGACGGTCGGTTTCCAGGTTATTCGGATCCACCGGCAGCTGACGTATAAGACGACACGACCAGGCAACGCAAGGCCTTGACACCGGCGTTCAGCAACGCGGCGATCCGCAGATTGACGAGCGTCTTTTTCGATTCGACGTACAAGGCACTAGCTCAAGCCGTCAACCTTGTGTTCTTGTGTGCTAATCCTGCAACAGCTCAAGACGCTCTGGGACAACGTCATCGAATCGCAATCCCAGAATGAGGCCATCATCGACGTCCAAGGATGGTCAGTACATACCTTCGAAGTTCATTTGATGCAGACTCCTGCTCATGCGGATACAGGATGAACCGTGTGGCGTGAGCGGATAGTTCCCGTGTGCCAAAGTTCGCGGGCGGCTAATCTTCCCAACCGCTGCAGGCTGGACAGCATCGGTATCGCAGGATTCTCACATGACTTCCACTATCTCGACGGCCACGAATCCGCGGTGACGGTTGCCTTCGAGTCGCTGCAAGCGACCGAGCCAGGTTCGCTCGCGGGCGATGCCGCGCTGATCATTGCCAACACGTTTCCGTTCGTTCTGAGCTTACCCACGCAGCGAATGCAGATGTTCCGAGCGCTCGGCCGCAGCCTTGACGTCATCGCCGATCGGCTTCTGCAGAGCACAAGACGGGAGAAAGGCGGAAATATGACCGAGGACATGACAGACAAGTCTGTCATCGGGCTTCTCCGTGAGCGACAACATATCATTCCGAGGCGAGATGTGACATGCATGGCCCAACAGTGAAAGCCGAGATCGCCGATGCCGAATTGTACATGACGAAGGAGGAAGTAGTGGCCCAGGTGCGATCGTCTCCCCCCTGTACATCTCGGTGAGAATTCATCCCCGGCAGATGGTGAGCATGCTTTGGACACATGATGAGATCCACTGACGGCAGCAGAATGTTCTTCTGCTCGCAGGTGAGCGCCTTGTTTCCGTTACCGGACGTTCGACGAATCTCTCCTGGCAGGTTACGAAACAACGTCCGGTGTGTTACCATCCCATTTTGTATTTCTGATCTCACCCGAGTGTCTCGTGACAGTCAGCCTGACCGTGAGTGGTGGACACGCTCCTGATCGGCTCGTGATGACGTCTGTCCAGTGGGCCCTCATCGAGTTGGCGCGAAACCCGACCATCCAGAGCCGTTTGCGGGATGAACTGCTTAGCCGGTTCAGCAGCTCGGATCCTACGTGGGACCAGCTGATTTCGCAGCTCCCGTACCTCGACGCAGTCGTATCGGAGGTGCTTCGCACTCACCCTCCCGTGACAGAGACTCCGAGAGAGGTGTGTGCCCATCTTCACGCTTGTGTGAAGTGATTTGCTACCATAACACCGATGCCCAGGCCGGGGTAGATGACGTGATCCCACTGGGCACGCCAGTCGTTACCCCATCCGGTGAGGTTATATCCAGCGTCTCTGTGGCCCAAGGGGAAATCGTTCTGGTGCCGATACGCTGCATCAACCGATCTCAAGCCCTGTGGGGGCCCGATGCCGCCTCGTTCCGCCCCGAGCGCTGGTTCGACGAGATCCCAGAGAAGGCCGGGGAGTTGCAGGGCTACCGACACATATTAACCTTCCACGACGGACCCAGAGTGTGTTTGGGCAAATCGTTCGCTTTAGGTGGGAGGTTCTCTCCCTCTTATGTTGCATAATCTCACAGTTTCACAGCGGAGTTCAAGGCGAGTCACAGCTTCATTGGGGCTACGATGAAACTGAGCGGTGCTTACTAGGCAGCTCTCTCGGTTCTCGTGCGCAACTTCGAGTTCGAGCTACCTGATGGGCCCGACACGAAGATCGGAACGCATATGGCCGTTGTTCCGCGTCCGAAAGTGGAAGGCCAGGATGGGGCAAAGGTGCCTTTGAAGGTCAAACGAGTCGACGTTTGATGCTACGAACTTCGGTGTCAATTCGAGTTAAAGTAACTTTCACTATTCATACGGAAATGCAACAGTGGTGAATGTCCTACTCGTTTACAATCTTTCTCTCCGAAGTCAGGGCTAGTTCAACTCGGTCAAAATCATCTCCGTCGTATCAAACAGCTCTTTCTGCAGCCGCTCGTCAAGTGCGTACTTGGACGGTTGACTCAGCGCGGCCGGCGGGATCAGGTAAGCGCCGCGGTATTTATCGTTATCCTCCGCGACCTTCGCGCCCGCGGCAGCAAACACGACCGGTATCGCGCCGTTGCGCCAGGGTTTGAAGAAGAGGGGACCGATGTAGTCTCGGAACAGCCATCCGAGGCAGGGCACCGAGCCCAGGAAATGATCAGACCCGGTGGTTTTCACGCTCCCTGGATGGACCGAGATGCACGTGATGGGGACCGAATCGGCGGCGAGCCGTTTTTGAAGCTCCTTCATGTGCAGGATGTTGGCCAGTTTCGTGTTCCCTGCCCGTCCGATTCGAGTGAGTAGGCACCCTGGCGATGCAATGCGGAGCTGGCGTACCATATGTGTTGAGAGTGCCCATGACGGAGTCTCCGTAGTTCTTGTTCAAAGCATCTCTTGTCGCGAATGTCGCCGGCTTGACTTGGGTATGCGCGACAGAGGATACCTGCAAGGAGTTATCAGAATGGTCGCCTTCGGAGAGCGATAACGCTCACATTGACGATCCGGACGTCGGAGTTCGGCCGCTTGGCTGTCTCAATCATGAGCGGAAGCAGCCCTTGTGTCAGCGCAAAGTGCCCGATATGACTGGAGAGATCATCGTCAGTGCGAAGAGGAAGGCGACCACCCCACGACCAACTTGACAGCCATGATATCCAGAAACCCATCATCGTTTAATCGATAAGGCCCCGGGAACGTCCTGGATCCTATCAGTCCACGCGCTTCAGCAATCAGAGCAGAGGGTGACCGACTTGGCCGCGTTGTTCACGAGTACATCCAACCGCTCTTCTTTCTTGCAGAAGCTCGCCACAGCTTCTCGCACTCTGCGAACGTCGGAAAGGTCGAGTTTCAGCCAGTGCACACTCCCGTCCAAGATCCCCTCGGCCTCGAGCTGCTGTATCGCAGCTTCCGCTCGTTCTTGGTCCCGCGCGCCCATGTAGACCTGAGTACGTCGACCACCGTTCATGGCTACGCGCACGAGAGCTCGACACGCACCTTGGCCCCCTTGCGCGCCAGCATCTGGATGGTGGCATAGCCGATTCCGGTGCTACGAGCCCGTCCAAGTCAGCGTCGCGGTCGGTCGCTGTGGTGGGTTCTGCCACGTACTTTCCACCGGTCACGAGAGCCACCTTGCCGTGCAGGTCGACGAGGTCGGCCTCGGATATCGAGGGCATGACGGGGAGTGTCAGGGAAGTGGGCCGCTCCCACAGTCGCAGGGCACTTCGTTTGCCCTCATGTGTGCATGCATCATCGCAGCCCTGCGAGGAATCTACCCGATCGGTACAGGGATCTGAGGCTGTGCAATGTGCCGCCTCGGCAAGTGTGCCGAGGTTGTGCATAAGTAAGGCAGCATGAGCCAAAATAATCCAAGGAGCTGGTCCACGTAAGATTACTGTTGAGTAACACACTGTCCACGGTTTCGTTCTCAGAGAAGCGAGATGTAGCACGACGGTCATAGTCTAAATCCTTAGGGTCCATGTTGCAGTTTGATCAAGCGAGAAATCTCTTGACAAACCCGTTCCCGAAGATATCTTGCGTTGACGGGGTCAGTGAGCTGACATTGACATTCCAACATGGATCAATGTCGCATTCAGAATCATTCGAGCACTCTGAAACCCAAGTTTGCACGCCTGTTGACCATTTGAAACAAAACCCGCCGTTTGTTGATGGTACATCAACACGTGAGCTCGAGGTGACTGTTGTCTACGACGTTCGCCTTTGTTTGGAAAATGATTTCGATACCACGGTTCACTGCTGATTCCAGGGCCAATGAGATAACTGGTGTTATCTGAAACTGGGGCGGAACGACCCGGGACAAGAGAGCGCGACTTTTCGAACCTGGCCGGCCGCTTTCCGAATGACGACGAGCCCATCGGGCACGTTTGGGATGCTCGGAGTTAGATAGCAGGCTTCCCTTAGGTTGAAATGGCGTGGTTTCACATCCAAATATCTCATAAACAACGGGATTTTACAAATTGAACTTCGACTATTCGAGCTCTGCCAATATTGCCTCGGTGGTATCAAACAACTCTTGCTGGAGGCGCTCATCCAGTGCATAGTTTGAAGGCTGGGCCAGAACACCCGGCGGCCCCACATAGGCGCCACAGTATCTGACATTGTCCTCTGCCACTTTCGCACCTGCCGCGGCAAAAACGATAGGCATTGCACCACAGTGCCAGGGCGCATAGAAGAGCGGCCCAATGTAGTCCCGCAACAGCCACCCGAGGCAAGGCACAGAGCCCAGGGAATCGTCTGCACTGCTCGTTTTCACGGTCCCTGGATGCACTGCAATACATGTGATGGGGACAGACTCGGCGGAAAGACGCTTTTGAAGTTCCTTCATGTGCAGGACGTTGGCCAGTTTCGAGTTCGCTCACCTCAGTTACCACCGCCAACCCCCCATATAGACCCCGCGGGGGTACAGGGGGCAGCTGGCCATTTTGGGGCAGGGGGATGGGCAGGGGTCAGGACGGGGGTCAGGACGGGGGTGCCCATACATACCATGTGACTTGTCCATAAGAGCGGGCAGCTGGGCGGGAAAAAAAAAATCAATCACATGATGCACCAAATGGGCGGGATGGCGGGAAAATCACGTGATGAGCTGCAGGAAAAATTTCAAAATGGCGGGGGTTGGCAGGGGTGTTGGCGGGGGCGCTACCGCCCCTCCCGCACACTGCAGCGGGCAGTGGGCGCATTATCACGTGACTTTTTGGGGGGCCCCTTTTCGCACCATTTGGCATGATTTTGGAGGTGCTGCTTGATAGATTGCATGTTGTGGCAGATAGTGGGCGCAAAATCACGTGATTTTCCGCCAAAAAAAAAATGGAAGCCTCTCTAAATCATCCCAGTATAATTTCCATAGGTAAATACACTAATTGACCATGCATTTGAGCTTAGAAATCCCCAAATGCACCCTGCACAATAGGATTGTTGATGCGCTTGATCCCATCATCTGGCGGGGTCTGCCGCGGGGTCAGTCTGGCATATTCTATATTTGACCTCCTTTAGCCGTAGCAGTAGTGCTGCTGACCACCAGGGCAAGAATACAAACATTTATGAAATATCTTATCAAGTGTAAGGGCAACCTCGAGGCCCAATCTCAGAGTCCTGACAAGGGAGAGTCCAAAGAGTCAGATAAGGGGAACGACTAATACAGGAGACTTGGCAAACCTGACAAGGGAGAGTCCAAAGAGAAACCGAGTTGGGGACTCTCCTTGTCAGGGCCCACTATATATAGCCTACAGAACAATGGATGACCAAGCACAATGGAAGCGCCAGACAATGGGCCAGGGAACAATGAGGGGCCGGATTGGGGAGAACAATGGGAGCTGGACCGTCGGAACAATGGGGGTCCGGGCCGGAGTGTCATGTGGATGCGCTTGGCAGGGAAGTCCGGACCAAAGCATGTGACGCCTGACAGATGGTGCGTGCACGGTCACATGCAAGATCCCATGATGATCGGACAAAAGCAGGGGTTCCCCTGACATCAAGGTAGACAAAGCCAATAGGGAAGGTGAAGATGTGTAACTGGATATTGCAATTGATGCAGGGCCCAGTGCGGGGTCTGGTGCGGGGTCTGGTGCGGGGTCTGATGCAGATTACACAAAATTTTGATGTATCTACTCTGGCTAGGGTTGTAGAATATCACGTAACTTTTCTCTATTTTGGCAGGGAATGGGGGATAAAGATACACAACATTGCCCGCATGTTTTGGCTGGGTCTCCAGGTCAAGTCATGTGATTTACCAATGTTTTGGTGGGGGGTAGGAGATTAATGGATGATGTTACCTATCTGCACCCCCGCCTTCACCCCCCCCCCCCCCCCCCCCCCCCCCCCGCAACTACAACTACCCTGCCACTGATTGACCCCCGCCATCACCCCGCCACACCGGTGCCTCAGCCCCTGCCATCTCTGAATATGTAATATTATGTAAAGTGACAGCCCGGAACACATCAAGTCAGTAGCCAATCAGGACCTGTATAAACATCGTACCTAACTATGTTTTGCTCTTCTGAGACTGTTTTTACATATATGCAGCTAAAAACCATCGGAATTATGTGTCCTTATGCTGTTCTTGTTGAATATAATGCCACTTCATGTCCTCTGTCAGCCCGAAATTCGAAACATGGAAACAGCTCATAGTGACTCAATGTTCAATGTTCCTATATAGAGAACACTTCAACATGGTTCACTTTGCATATTGCGCAAAATATATTTTCTGCAAGGGCCCAACTTCACACAGCCGAAGGATACACCCTTTGGCAATGCCTGAACAAAATCTGGGGAGTGCTGGACCCTGTAACGATTCAAAAATACGAAATAAATCCAAAGTATAGTGTGATTTATAATGTGGGATACGGGCCAGTTTAAAGAGATGTGAGCCTCTGGTCATCTTGAATATTGTTTCTAACAATGTTTCGGTCCCCTACCTCCTACCAGACAACCTCTGTTCTCACTGGAACGTGCAAAACCCACCCAAGCTTGTAAAATCAATTGTCGCCCAGAAACAAGAGCAGTCAAGTTCCTTTGTTGGAATTGGGTAGAGGTAACCATGAAGTTGCTTGGGCTGCAGTATAAAAGCATGGGAATGTGTTTCTATGTGTGTTCATCTGGTCGCTCCACATTTGATTGGCCAGCAGGGGCTGGTGCACCCCCGCAGTCAACCCCGCCCAATCCCCTGCAAGAATTGTATTCACAAGGTTTCTGTGCAATTCTTTGTCAGGGTTCTGTGTATTAGCACACTCATTACAGTGTCTCAATGTGTAAGGGCAACCTCGAGACCCGATCTCAGAGTTCTGGCAAGGGAGAATCCAAAGTGTCAATAGTGGTAGCTAGGTACAAGACCGGCATACCTGGCAAGGGAGAATCCAAAGAGAAACTGTGTTGGGGATTCTCCTTGCCAGGCGCCACTATTTATATGATACAAGAACAATAGAGCGCGCAGCGACAAACAAAGAACAATGGGAACAATAAGTACAATGGCCATTGGAGAACAATAGGAAACCGAGACAGTGGGAACGATAGGACAGCTGACCATGTGCCCATCAGAGAGAAGCGCTTGGCGCGGCAGTCCGGGCCGCGGCGCGTGACAGCTGACAGGTCACGTGAGCGCGATCACATGCCTGATCGAAGGCAGAGCGGTCCGAAGCGGGGGTTCCCCTGACACAATGTGATGTTCACAGGTTATATTCAATCCAGCAAATGATGCTTGTAACAGCTGTATCAAATATGCTATTAAAGAGAGTGAAACATTGGAGATGCAGTCATCCTTAAAAAGCAGGAGGACCACTTCAGCTGTTCGGAAGGGGAGCAGTAGCCATGACTATTCCTGCTGATCAATGTAGCTGTGACTGGACAACCCCCTTGGGGATTTGCTGAACACATGTGGTTGCGCATTTTTTAATATGTTAGCATCTTTTGAAGCCACAAACTCCACCAAAATGTACTGGCAAAACCATGCTTTAATCTCCTACCCCCCACCAAAACATTGGTAAATCACATGACTTGACCTGGAGACCCAGCCAAAACATGCGGGCAATGTTGTGTATCTTTATCCCCCATTCCCTGCCAAAATAGAGAAAAGTTACGTGATATTCTACAACCCTAGCCAGAGTAGATACATCAAAATTTTGTGTAATCCACCCCTGCCCCTGCTCCCCCACCAGACCCTGCATCAGACCCCGCACCAGACCCCGCACCAGACCCTGCACTGGGCCCTGCATCAATTGCGATATCCAGTTACACATCTTCACCTTCCCTATTGGCTTTGTCTACCTTGATAAGATATTTCATAAATGTTTGTATTCTTGCCCTGGTGGTCAGCAGCACTACTGCTACAGTGCCTGTAGGGACTTCTCTTGACGCGTGATTTGGGTACAAAGAAATTTTTGTGAATTATTTTCTTTTTTCTGAGCCAGGAAACTGGCCAAAAGAATGTGTTTTAACACAAGACCTCATTTTTTCCCATGGTGTTTCACTTTTTCGGCCGGTCGGACCAAAAATTTGTTTCATATCTCTCGGACTTTCGCGTATCATACATCCGTATTCACCCGCTTTGTAATTACTAACGTGCGGTTTACACCAAATGCCCAAAAAGTCGAAACGGAGTGCTGCTGCAAGCCTTCAAATCAGGCTGTTGACCCATTATCTATTGCTAATTAGAATTTAGGCTGGGTTTGAACATTCAACAGGCTGTCTATGCAGTTAAGAAATACATCTCTCATCGCCGGATACCCGCCACAGTGCTTGAGGATCCTGAAATTATTCGGCGGGCGGATGTGGCGGTGTCTAACCCTACCCAAAAAGGGAACTGATCCGATCATTAGGGTTAGGTTTCACTTTTCTGAGCGGAAAAAGTCCAACTTCAAGCTCATCGTTAATGGAGCACAACCTAGTTAGATAGCATCCAATAGATACCAAATACATGCTCCAAGTGACCGAAAGTGTTTTCAAGAAAATGTAGTTAGCTTTCCAAATCCGGATGACATTCCCAGCCAGCTCGGCTAAGAGATGTCATTGTTGGCACTGTACGGCTAAAGGAGGTCAAATATAGAATATGCCAGACTGACCCCGCGGCAGACCCCGCCAGATGATGGGATCAAGCGCATCAACAATCCTATTGTGCAGGGTGCATTTGGGGATTTCTAAGCTCAAATGCATGGTCAATTAGTGTATTTACCTATGGAAATTATACTGGGATGATTTAGAGAGGCTTCCATTTTTTTTTTGGCGGAAAATCACGTGATTTTGCGCCCACTATCTGCCACAACATGCAATCTATCAAGCAGCACCTCCAAAATCATGCCAAATGGTGCGAAAAGGGGCCCCCCAAAAAGTCACGTGATAATGCGCCCACTGCCCGCTGCAGTGTGCGGGAGGGGCGGTAGCGCCCCCGCCAACACCCCTGCCAACCCCCGCCATTTTGAAATTTTTCCTGCAGCTCATCACGTGATTTTCCCGCCATCCCGCCCATTTGGTGCATCATGTGATTGATTTTTTTTTTCCCGCCCAGCTGCCCGCTCTTATGGACAAGTCACATGGTATGTATGGGCACCCCCGTCCTGACCCCCGTCCTGACCCCTGCCCATCCCCCTGCCCCAAAATGGCCAGCTGCCCCCTGTACCCCCGCGGGGTCTATATGGGGGGTTGGCGGTGGTAACTGAGGTGAGTTCGCTGCAGCCGCCCAATGTGAGTACGCACACCGGCAATTATGGATGGATTTGCCGTACCATATGTACCGATAGATCCCAAAAACGAGTCTCCGTAGTTCTCATTCAAGGCGTCCTTTGTCGCAAATGTCGACGGTTTCGCAGAGGTGTGCAACATCGAGGTCAACTAGAGAGGATCAGCATCCTAGCACATCAAGAACTGGTGAAATGCACACACATTGACTATCCGAACGTCGGAGTTGGGGCTTTTGGCCGTCTCAATCATGAGTGGAAGGAGACCTTGGGTCAAAGCAAAGGGCCCGATATGACTGGGGGGAGAGATCATTGTCAGCGCGAAGCGACATGGGACCGTGCCACAGCGCACTTGATAGCCATGATGTCTAGAAGCCCGTCGGTGTTTACAAGAAATGGTCCAGGCAATGCCCTAAGCAGATGTATTCAGTTTACGCTATCAGGTAGCGATGAGAGTGACGCGACCAACTTCGCTGCGTTATTGACCAGGATATCCAGACGCTCCTCTTTCTTACGGAAGCTTTCTGTAGCGTCTCGCACTGTACGCACGTCCGAAAGGTTGAGTTTGAGCCAATGCACACTCCCATCCGAGATCCCTTCAGCCTCGAGTTGTTGTATGGCTGTTTCTGCTCTTTCTTGGTCCCGTGCAGCCATATAGACCTACACCGCGTTCTCAGCGACTCTGGACTTGGAGTTAAGCAAAATGAAAGCGCACCTTAGCGCCCTTGCGCCCCAGCATCTGGATGGTAGCATAGCCAATGCCAGTGCTACGTGCACTCGTCAGGACACGGGTTCTCACACAGCGCAGGTTCTGCATACTTTCCACCAGTCACAATAGCTACTCTGCCGCGCAAGTCAACTAGGTCGAGCTCCGAGATCGAGGGCATGGGAGGTAGAAACTAGGATATATAGACCAGTCCCTCGATGGAACCCTTCTCATGTCGTAGCCAGGAAGGTGATGTGATCGGGAGGTTTGATTCATTGGAGCCGGCCATACTTGATACCCAAGGTAAAAACAGTTTTACTGAAGCGACTTGAAAGTTGGTGTCCAAGTCAAGAACAGGCACTCGAAGTGTTGATCTGAGCCATCATGCAATCATTTCGGAGAGTTTTCACGTGACCTACCTGTCGAGACTCGAGAGGTCTCTTGCCAGCGGTCACGCTGAATCTGCCCAATCGCAGGAAGAAAAGGGCAGTCCACAGTTTTCATTTGATGAGCAATACATCCACCGTCATTGCGCCAACCGGATATTGCACATACAAGCCCTCTCTTCTTCTCAGCCTCCGGTACAATCTCTGTTTCCTCATACTCCCTTACCGCTGAATCCGCAGGTTCTCAATACCAAGTCCAGCAGTAAGAGCGGGCGTGTCCCTATCCCCTGTCATGACCGTGGGCTTCACTTGGGCGACAGAGGGAGCTAGTGGCCTTGCCCGAGACGCTGATCATCGATGTGGTCGAGAGCGTGCGGAGGCTCGGTGTGTTTTCTAGACGGGTGGGTATTTGTGCGGAGCACCCGGCTGCTTTTGCGCCTGGGAACAAGCCATGACGGGCTATGTATGTGCATTGGTTAGATTCCTCCCTCGGATGGTTCCGACTGACTCATCGCAGTTTGATGTTGAGTCCGATGAGCATCGACCGAAGATCCTCTTAGACGCGGCTGTGCTACACGGGCTTACCATCATCTCCTGGTGGCTCCAACCGACTCCTCCGTCCCCAGAACTGGGCCTACTGGGTGGATATCACTGGTTCTCGGTCGAAGATTCCGACTCAGACTGGCCTCTGGTCATCGTGCAGCTCACGTCCGCACTCCACAATGTCTGGCTTGCCGTCATGGTGTTCTCCTGCCTATCCCTTCTGGGCGGGGCGACTAACGCAGCTCTCGATGAGGCGGACATGCCTGAGGAAGCGTCCCGAGTGGACAAATGACCATCAGCGCCGTCCTATCGCGCCGCCACAGACGGCGTCCATGGTCGTGATATGAGATTTTCTCGGATGTAGATAGTAGGTCCAATACACCTCAGTTACCACCGCCATCACCCGGTTGCACCCCCGCGGGGGTCCTCCTGGGTACCCTCAGACGTAGCTCTGAGGGTACCTAACAGGTACCCCCCTGCGGGGCCCGCGGGGGGGATTTGGTCCATTTGGGGGCGGGGGCATATGCGGGGGTCAGCAGGGGGGGGTCTGTACATGTCATGTGATTTATCATTGGGAGCGGGCAGGTGGGCGCAAAAAAAAAAATGAATCACATGACACATCCAATGGGCGGGATGGCGGCTGATGGCGGGGTAAAAAAATCACGTGATGCACCGCATGAAAATTATCAAAAATGGCTAGCAGGGGTTGGCGGGGGTTGGCGGGGGCGCTACTGGCCCCCCGCACACCATGGCGGGCAGTGGGCGCATTATCACGTGACTTTTGGGGCACCTTTTGTGCACCATTCGGCATGATTTCGGAGGTGTTGCTTGATCCATTGCATGCTGTGGCAGACAATGGGCGCATAATCACGTGATTTTCCGCCCAAAAAAATGGAAGCCTTCCCCAAATCATCCTGGTATCATTTCTATCGGTAAATACACTAGTTAAGCATGAATTTGAGCTTAGAAAGCCCAAAATGCACCCTGCACAATGGGACTGGTGATGCACTTGATCCCATCATTTGGCGGGGTCTGCTGCGGGGGGTGCCACGGGGGGTGCTGCGGGGGGTGCTGCGGGGGGTGCCGCAGGGGGTGCCGCAGGGGGTGCCGCAGGGCCCGCTGTGGGGTCAACCACAGGAGCAGGGGTAGGGGTGCATTGCATCATATTTTGATCTATCTATTCTCGCTGTGGTCATAGCATGCAGCATAATTATCCTTCATTTTGCCAGGAGTTTGGAGGCTGTGTCTGGGGTTGGTCTGCAGCTACAGCCATGTGACTCCCTGATGCTTCGGCAGGGGCTGGGATATCAAAACTGTGCAATATTGTCTGCATAATCCAGGCATGTAGGGTTAAAAAGAAAGTGTGATTTGTTCATTTTTTGGCTGGCAGGGTAGGTGGGCTGACATCATGGGCTGCATCGGGTCCACTGTCAACTCATTGGTTGTTTCGTCTGCTCATTCTATACACATGCCCATTGGTAAGCTGATCATGCTGTAGGCACAGTCTGATCTTACCCAGTGGATGATACCACACATTAATTACATACCTAATGTCACACTTCCTGTCTGGGACTCATTGAAGTTCATCTGTTCTGTGTTACTTTACAAGCAGTTTGCTTTAGTTGCAACATGAACAGATGTAATAGAGTGGATTTGACATGCCCTGAATTGATTCCTAGGTGGAATATGAGACAATGGATTCACCAGCAAGTTGCCTCACAATAGTCAGAGATTGGTAATATTTGAATTTCAAATTTCATATACAACACTCTGTGCACTCAGAGCTCGTATATTTGCAAGATAGACTGTAGAGACATAGATGGTTACTTTTACTACCTCTGGGGCTGCACACATCCTTGCCATGACCCACTGCCTGCACCCCTGCTGGTACCCCCATTGGCACCCCCGCCGGCACCCCTGTTGGCACCCCCGCCGGCACCCCCGCTGGCACCCCCGCCAGTCTAGCACCCCCCGCTGCACCGGTGCCTTGTCCCCGTGATTTTCTTATATGTAAGATTATGTAAACTGACAGCTCGGAACACGTCAAGTCACTAGCCAATCAGAACCTGTATAAACGTCGTACCTAAGTGTTTACTGCTCTTCTAACACTGTTCCTACAGTTATGCAGCTGAAAACCATCGGAATAAGGTCTCCATATGCTATTCTTGTTGAATATGTAGGTACTTCATATCCTTTGTCCACCTAAAAATCGAAACATGAAAACAGTTCACCATTGCTCAAGTTTCCTATGTAGACAATGGTTCAACATGGTTCACTTTGAGTATGGCAAAAAATATTTTTTCTACACACAAGCAATTCAATACAGCTGAATGATATACTCTTTGGCAGTGTCTGAAACAAATTCTGAGAGCCCTGGACCCTGGAACCATTCAAAAACTTGAAATGAGTCCGAAAAATAGGGTCTTGATAAACATGACATATGGGCTGGTTTGAAGAGACATGGGCCACCGGTCATGTTGAATATAGTATTTTACAATGTTTCGGTGCCCTACCTCTCATCACATGGCCTCATTTCCGACTAAGAAGCGCACATACACACTCAAGCTCATAAAATCAATTGTCACCCAGAAACAAGAGCAGTGAAGTTGTTTCACTGGGATTGGGTAAAGGTTACCTAGAAGTCACTTGGGTTGCAGTACAGAAGCTTTGGAAAGTGATTTTGTAGTTGATCCACATTTGGTAGGCTGGCAGATGCTTGTGCACCCCCACGGCACCCCCCGCGGCACCCCCTGCGGTTGACCCCCCCCCCAACCCCTGCAAGGATTTAATTGACAAATGTCCTGCTCAATCCATTGTAAGAGTCTACAGTATTATTGGATTCAGTAAAGGGCCCAAATGGTGTGTAGACAAGAAGTATGAAATCCGGAAATCAACAATTATGACACCTCCACGGAATATGCTGCAAATGGAGAGAAAAATTTGAGTGCAGACAGACTACCTGAAGCAAACAGACAGAGAAAAGAAACATTAGCCATTTCTTGTTGATGATGTTGGCTGTCCCTGGAGCATGTACTTGGGAGATTTGCCTAACAAATCAAGTTGCACATTTTTCAAATTTTTAGTTTGACCTGACAGCTTGAGCAGACCATGCCAAAATGAACCAAGTCATATATATCAGTGCCCCAAGCTAAGCCAAAAGATTTAGGTAAATTTGCACAGTTTTGATATCCCAGCCCCTGCCGAAGCATCAGGGAGTCACATGGCTGTAGCTGCAGACCAACCCCAGACACAGCCTCCAAACTCCTGGCAAAATGAAGGATAATTATGCTGCATGCTATGACCACAGCGAGAATAGATAGATCAAAATATGATGCAATGCACCCCTACCCCTGCTCCTGTGGTTGACCCCACAGCGGGCCCTGCGGCACCCCCTGCGGCACCCCCTGCGGCACCCCCCGCAGCACCCCCCGCAGCACCCCCCGTGGCACCCCCCGCAGCAGACCCCGCCAAATGATGGGATCAAGTGCATCACCAGTCCCATTGTGCAGGGTGCATTTTGGGCTTTCTAAGCTCAAATTCATGCTTAACTAGTGTATTTACCGATAGAAATGATACCAGGATGATTTGGGGAAGGCTTCCATTTTTTTGGGCGGAAAATCACGTGATTATGCGCCCATTGTCTGCCACAGCATGCAATGGATCAAGCAACACCTCCGAAATCATGCCGAATGGTGCACAAAAGGTGCCCCAAAAGTCACGTGATAATGCGCCCACTGCCCGCCATGGTGTGCGGGGGGCCAGTAGCGCCCCCGCCAACCCCCGCCAACCCCTGCTAGCCATTTTTGATAATTTTCATGCGGTGCATCACGTGATTTTTTTACCCCGCCATCAGCCGCCATCCCGCCCATTGGATGTGTCATGTGATTCATTTTTTTTTTCGCGCCCACCTGCCCGCTCCCAATGATAAATCACATGACATGTACAGACCCCCCCCTGCTGACCCCCGCATATGCCCCCGCCCCCAAATGGACCAAATCCCCCCCGCGGCCCCGCAGGGGGGTACCTGTTAGGTACCCTCAGAGCTACGTCTGAGGGTACCCAGGAGGACCCCCGCGGGGGTGCAACCGGGTGATGGCGGTGGTAACTGAGGTGGTCCAATAGCCGCTACTAGCATCTAGGGTCAATTGGTGATGTTGTGCCAACCAGCAGATTTCACGATTGAAAGCTGAGCAGGACACACCATCCTCGAGCGCTGGGTCTGATGCAAAAGTGTGCGGGCAGGCAAAACCGAAATGCGAGAGAAGCTGACAATCGCTGAGATCTGGAGATTCGTGTTCGAGTCTCGACCCGTTTTTACCTACCTATGAGCCTCAAGTGGTCGGCCGAGCGAACGCATCTGAAAACATGCAACAATGTTGAGCCCAACTCGAAAACCACACCACTCAACTCAGGATGATCTTGCCCAAGC